CACCGCAACCGCAAAAGCTCACGCCCCGGATTTTCGCGTCGAACCCAGCAGGACGTCGGGGTGCGTCGCTACACGCTGTGACTCTATCCTGGGACCTAAACACTGGTGAAAACACAGGTCTGGCCAGCATCATATGTATATATATATATATATATATATGTATATACATATTATCATTGTTATATGCATATGTATATATGTAAATGTATTGATAAAAACAAATATGTGTATACGCATGTATATATATATATATGTGTGTATGTATGTATGTATGTATGTATGTATGTATGTATGTATGTATGTATGTAATTATGTATGTATGTATAAGGCTCTGGCTCGAGCCAATTGTTCAGTGTGTAAGTACAACCTGTGCCATGTGGTTATGCCGGCCCTTCCTTGTGGCTCTAGTTCTCACGAGCCCTGTCTGCCTGGAGCTGCCCTGCACGGCGCGGTGCTCAGACCTGCCCAGCGCCGTCTGCGCTGAAAGCCCAATTGCCCTGCAAGTGCAAACAGCCCTTGGTGCCCGGCATGCTTCTTTGTCTCAAGTGCATCGATTGCTGTATCGCAGCCGAGCCATTGCGACCGACCTGTCTCTGGGCTCTTCTCCCTTCAGCCCCTGCGTTGCTCTGGCATGCCGCCCAAGAAGTCCACTCAGGCGGCTAAGGCACGTGGTGGCATCCTTCGCTCCGGCCGCTTTGCCAAAGCAGCCTCAGAGACCGCAGCTGAGAGAGAGACCGCAGCTGTGCCGGCCAAAGCTTCAGGGGGCAGAGCTCGTACCCGTACTCCGGCACCAAAAAGTCGACGAGCGCGCCGAGAAGAGGCCTCTGAGTCAATCAGTGAGACTTCCTCGTCTTCTGAGGAATCCTGGGGGCCACCGCCCAAACGCAGATCTCTTCGAGGACCACCTCGCGGACCACCTCCCCCAGTGGCGATCAACGATCCGGGGGTGGCAGCTGCTGCTGCACCCACGCCGCTCGGTGCCTCTGGTCATGCCCCCGTGCCTCCCAAGGTTCCAGCGACGGTTACCACGACTACGAGACCGCCGTCCCCAGCAGGACCAGCTGGACCACCGCCTCCTACGCCAGCTGAGGCTCCCCAAGTGTCGACCGGCTACCCTCAAGACCTTATCCTCACGCTACAGGGCGCTTGGCAGCTTCGACTCACTCAGGTCACTCCGCTGTCGATTTGTACACCACCCTTGCCACTCACGCCCCCGCCGGCGGCGATGGCTATGGCAGCGGCCACGACTAAGGCATCCCCTCCGCCTGCACCAGGCGCCTCTGGCATTCGGGCTCCATCCTGCCCGGCCTTCCTGGGCGGCTCCGCGTTGCCCTCACTCCTGCCTCCGACAGCCTTGGTCCCTGTCCCTTCGACGACAACTGGATCTGCTACGATGGTGCCTGCGGCAGGATCACCGGCCACGGTCACAACGCCGGTTCAATTTTGGAATGCAATGGCGTCGGGCCTTGCTGTGCCATCGGATGTCTGAGGCCTTGCCTGCCGTGAACTTCCACTGCCCTCTGCTCCCGGTGTCTTTACTTTTGGAGCACAAATGCGCTGCAGCAGTGATAACACATGAGCGGCAGAAACAAACGCTGGAGCGTCACATCTTGTTGAGTGGGCCCCTGCCTGATCTGTCTTTAATTGCTCAGCTCCATCACTGCTCAGGTCACAGCAGCATGTCCTTCCTGCCTCTGACGAACGACCGGGAGCTGCATGGTGGGAGCCTCTGCTCACTGCACGCGCCAAGTGCCTTGCACAGACTGAACTCCCAGGTTCCAGTCGGGTGGATCCACCCTTGCAGCAGATGCCGCGGGATAGGTCACGACAGCCCAGGAACAAACTGCAGGCACACAGGGTGCCTGATGACACGGACTGCTTGTCCTGTGCTGCCAGCCTCCATCCAAGGGCTGTGGTTGAGGCACCTTGGTGTGCCCTGCCTCTGTGTGCGCGCCTCCTGTGTGAGGCGCTCTCTGTCTCGAGGTATCGTAAAAGTGCGAGGTTCAACACTTACCGCAGTCATGCCCTCACTCAGGCTTTGCACTACGAGCGATTTTTGCCTTTTCTCGAGGCTCACGTCCTGTACCTTGAAGCCAGGCGTGAACTCACGGACGCTGAGCATACAGCCCTTCTTGCCCAGCTCACACACCTCGCTCCACTGGCGCTCGCAAGCCTGCGCTCTCGCCTCACAGACCTGCATATGCTCGACTATGCTGGGCCTTGCTGGCTCCTCGAGTCGGGCCCTCACAGCCTTCTCATCAGTCCGCTCTCCCATGTGCCTGCCTGTCTGTACCCAGGCTGGAGGAGTCCTCGCCTGTGGGCCTGATGAACATCCTGAATCCTCGGGAGCTATAATTGGACAATGGCCTCTTTGCGAGGCCCTCAGTATTCAGCACTGTCTCCTCCTGCCAGCACAATGCCGTGAGACTCAAGCGAGCAAGCAGACTGCCCTGTTTCGACCACATAGCCGTCTTAGCTCTCAGCCAAGCGCAGGTGCTTCTTTCCCAAGGCCATGGGAGTACAGGCTCACAAGCGGCCAGCCGGTCGTTCTTCAGGCAACCGTGCTCGGGGATCCAGTGCACAGGTTGGGTCCAAGGCCACCACTCACGCTGCCTCCAAAGCTGCCTCCAAATCCTCTGCGAAGCGTCCGGCAAGCTCCATTGCCAAGCAGGGTGGAGGCGCTCTCCAGTCCCAACCGGTCCGCTCGGCGCTTCCCTCGGACATACCAACAACACCGTCATGGTTCGCAAGTGATCCTGATGAGGTTCGTGCTTCCGATTCGGACCAGATCGACAGAGAGATGGCAGCTCGAGGTCTCCCAGTGCCGCCGGTTCAGCCCCTTGGTGCGGACGATCCGCCGCGCGGCCCACCACCTCCACGACCAGTCCGGTATGATGATGTCCCTGGAGCGATCAATGAGCAAGCGGGACCTGTTCCGGTCACAGTGGTGCTGTCCAGAGAACAACATAGGGTGCTGGCGCAAACCCCATTGTCACACATTATGCGCCACGCATCTGCGAGTATGTACCCTATGTCAGTACATCGCTAAAAGCAGATCCCTGCTCTCACTTTTGGCTGCTACTAGCAGTGCGGGCTACCAGGCTCCAGAGACTTGGATAGCCTCACCCATCTCGGGGCACAACACATGCTCAGTTGGCTGGCTGTGGGGAAAACAGTCTGTGCTGCACTTACTCCTTCCTGCCCGCATGCAGCCGAAAGGGTGCCATCCCTCTTGGACATGGTGCTGCACCCAGGTCATGAAGGATTCACCGCCTCAGACCAGCCGGGGACTGAATGCTACACTGCAGGATACCTTTCTGTACCGTCGACCAATGCGCCTCAGGATCTCGTCTGGTACCAAACGCACTCGTCGATTCAGACGCAAAAGAATTCCTACAGGGTGGTCTCACGCTAAAGGGCTATTTCTTCGATGGTATGCGACTCAGGCAGATCTCCAGGCTGCGGGCCTACTGTACACTAGTGCGACTCTGTGGAAAAATCGGACATCTGGTCGCAAATCTGCTTACGAGCATCGCAGCCTCAAGCTGGATTATACCACCGCCCGAAGCACAGGCAGAAACCACATACGAATGGCCAAACATACTTACACACATGCATACAATAGGCATCAAAAGAGCCCACTTCGGTCCCAAGTCCGAAGGGGAGGCTTGCTCCCACAGGCTTTCGCACATCTGGCACGCACCTTTGCATAAGCCAGTGCTAACCTGTATACAAAGCCTCTCAGAGCCGAGGGTTACACGTTCCCCGCCACGTCTTGAACCTGCCACCCTGATCTCCGCTGGACCTGCCGCACATGTACCTACCGAAGCTCCAGCCTCTGATCACAGTGAGGGTGCAGGGAAGCCAGGGATTGCAAGTGGTGCAGTCCTGCGGGACCGCCACCCTCGTACACAGCTCGTTGTCAGCAGGTCTGGGTCCTCATGGCCTGCCTCTCGCCTACTCCTCCTGGGAGTGGGCAGCCTCCTTCAGGCCCCGTGTGATGCACATGCTTTTGGAGCCAAGCGTGCCGACAATCGGGCAGTTCGCAGAGCGCGGGCCAGCCCTTTGCAGGGTACCTTCTACCGTGGGCGCTGGTGCCACTTTGGGGGCCAGGACTCAGCCTCGGCGTCGCAGTCTCAGCGCACATCCCGTCCTAGATTACATGCCGCTACTGCGGCTAACGCACACACTCGTACAACGCGGGAGGGCTCACCGGAGAGTCCTACCAGTGGTTAGCTCAGCTGCCACCGGCGCAATGTCCAATGATTGTGCACCTTCAAGAAACCCACTGGGCGCACGATCAGGAATACAGCACTCCCGGCTGGCATGTCATCTCATCAGCTTGTCAGTCTCCCAAGGCGGGCGGACTCTTGACTTTGATCAGTGACCGGCTCTGCCCTGCTGGTCAAATCTCCTCCTCAGCCCGCGTTGCAGGTCGATTGCTGCACGCTTAGGAGACCGCACCGTGGATGCAGTTAACATATATCAGAAGGTGTACTACTCGGGCAACTCCCGTCTTGGGAAAGGCCAGACACACACGGCCGCGGAACAGCGTCTGAACGTTTGGGAGTCCCTACGAGGGCTTCTGCGGGAGATTCCTGCCCGTCACCATCTTATTTTATCGGGCGATTTCAACTCTCCTGCTCCTCTCGTCTCAAACCTGGTGGGCAGCAAGGCTCATGCACACCGCACCCCTGCAGTCCCGGACCTGGACACCTTCGAGGCTCTTCTGGTTGATTTTCAGCTTCTTCATCTGAATAGCTGGACTCGTAAAGCCCGCCCGACCTTCACCTCTCCTCAGGGGACCTCTCAAATTGACCACGTATTTGTGCGCAAGGCAGCAGCAGACATGCCAGCTAGAGGCCGCAGCCCCTGTGACTGGCCCCTGGCCGCCTGGAGACAAGGGGGTCGTCATAGACCAGTTCGGGCCTCGCTCCCAATACGGCCGTACCGTGCTCTTGATAGAGGGCAGCCTAAACGCGCCCTCCTTGATCTTCAAGGACTGCGCAACGCCTGCGGGACAGCCATCACCCAGGCATTCAGCAGCTTCGTTCTTCGGTCCTTCTCAATAGCGCTCCGGAGGCAACTGTGGAAGAAGTCAATTCCCATATGCTACAACAGGCCACGGTACTCTTCCCAGCGGTCCGCAATCAGGGACGCATTGTCCCCTGGCAATCACCGTCAGTTGAAATCAGCGTCAAAGGTATGTGGCAAGCCTACCGCCACTGGCGTCAAAGCTCCGGCGGCAGGCCGTCGCAACATCTTTACAGTCTGGCGTGCCTACACTACCTTTAGGCGTGCGCATAAACAGTTTCGCCAAAGGACTCGTGAAGCCAAACGGGCATGGTTCTACGATCAGATCCTCGGTATGGAGCGAGCCTCTGCAGCCGGGGACGTCAGAACACTCTTCCGCCTAGCTGGTGCTCTCATGCCTAAACAACCCCGCCGTAAGCTTCAACTTCGAGGTCCCAACGGTGAGCTCTGGTCGCCCACGCAACAGGTGCACTGTCTTCAGACCTTCTTTAAGGACCTATATGCGCCGGAGGATGAGCCGGAGCTACCCTCCTTGCCTCCACTCCAAGCTCCAGTTATCACTCCTGAAGAGGCTCACCATAGGCTTAGCCGTCTCCCGGTCCACAAGGCCACTCCCTCGCATCAGGCACCCACAGCGGCCACTGTCGCTTGTGCTGACATCTTGGCGCCTTGGTTCAGCCGGAAAGTTGGGGCCCTGTCTTCCTTTCCGGCAGTTTGGTCCGACTGCTGGCTGTTCTTAATGCCCAAGGTCAGTCATCCTGTTCTGCCACGGCAATTTCGCCCTATCGGGCTCACGGAAAGCACAGGCCGTGCGCTGGCGGGACATCTACAGGACGCTCTCAAGCCTTATCTTCAGGCTTTTGTAGGCCCGTGGCCTCAGCTTGCCTATATGGCAGGACGCAGCACCGGAGAAGCGCTCCATCGAGTTTTCTCCCACTGCCACACGGTGTCGGCTGCCAACAAGAAGCCTGTCTACAACATCCATGCAGCCAGAGCCAAACTCACCCAGGCAGCCTCTTCCTCCTCGAGACAGACTCCGTCGTCATCCGGTCGGCTGCGGACCGGAGGCGTCCAGGCTTCGCTGGACCTGTCTCAAGCCTTTGACCGGCTGAGCTGGCATCTTATTCACGACGCCTTGATTGAAGCTCAGGTTCCACTTGAGCTTAGAGTACAGCTCCTTGAATTTTACCGAGGCCTGGGGTATCATCTGGCTTACGGCTCCGAGACGGCCCTTCGGGGCGTAAAACAAGGCTGTCGTGTGGCGCCGCTCCTATGGAGTCTAGCAACAGGCTTGCTTCTACGCCGGCTGGCAAGGGTCACGTCGTCAGAATGGGTCCGCCGTGCCCTCACTGCATTTGCAGACGACTTCCACATCGGACAGGTCATTCACTCCAGTCGTGATTTGCTTCTGGCTATCGAAAGGCTCGGACTCGTACTGCAGTTGCTGATTGAAGCACGGATGAAGGTCAACATAGACAAGTCGGTGGTTCTCCTTTTGGTAAACCATTCCTACGCCAGTCGCTGGCGACGCCGGGAAATTGTGTCCGACAAACAAGGCCCTCGCTTGCGCATATCGACCCCGTCTGTTGGCATCCTCAAACTGCCGATTGTCGATTCTCACAAGTTTCTTGGGGGCGATTATCTCTTACCAGGAGGACTGCACGCAGCTCACGGTGGCCTACCGATTGCGGCAAACCTGGGCAACCTGGACCAGACTTCGGCCGGCTCTCACCTTAGCTTCTGCACCGGCTCTTCCGCTGAGACTCAGACTCTGGCAAGCCTGCATTCCACCTACGGCCCTCTACGCACTTGACAGTCTCCCGCTCCAGCGGCAGCATCTGGTCCAGATACAAAGGGTTTTGACGCGTCAGCTCCGCGCCGTCGCTAGATCACAAGCACACATGACGGGGGAATCAACTCTTGATCTTCACGCTCGCCTTCGCGTCCCCTTTGCACTTGACATACTGCGACAGGCCTCCAGTCGGAGAGCTGCCAGATGGGAAGAGCTCTCTCCGGACGAGCGTCATCTTGTCAGTCGCGAATGGCAGGCTCGCATTGATGATGCCCTAACGCAGCTTGATCCCCACTCAGATTCGATCCTGGAGGATCCCATCACCGACCCAGCTGCCTCGGGTGTCCCTGATCCACCTTTGGGCCTGCATGTGGAGGCGCCAGACCTGAATCTTGACGGATGGTCTTGTCCATATTGTTCACACCAGGCGCTCTAGCACCGCTTGCTCCGTGTGCATCTTTCCAGAGCCCATGCTGTCAAGGCGAAGGACAGACACTGCCCGGGCAGATTCGATAGAGCCATTCACTCGGTGAGCGGGATGCCAACATGCCGCCTTTGTGGGCATCACTTTCATAGGTGGACCGGGCTCCGTAATCACATCGATAAAGGACAATGTCGGTGTCTGTCTTTTCCCGTCCAGTCGGCGCATGAGTCATTCAGGGGGAGCGCAAATCTTGTTACTGAGGCTGGACCTGCAACGTCGGATGCCCCTGATTGTGTTGTGGCTGCTGCACAGAAGGCGGGGTCATCTCCGCCCACAGCAATGGTGCCTCCAACTCCACCTGGCCTAGAGGGCGTCCTCTCGAAACCCCCTTCCGCAGAACGACCTAGTTTGGCCCCGGACTTGCAAACTGCCCATTCTGCAAACTCTACAGCCATTGCTCAAACAGAGGTCGAGGACGCTGTCCTGCTCATCCCGCCGTTGACAGATTCGACAAATTCTCAGCCGCTGGCCTACACCACTGCCTTTCAAGATCAGTTGCGCCAACAGGGGTGGCAAGCGCTACTCGCCAGGCCTGACCTCCGCCGCCCCTTGAAGCATCACTGCCCGTTGTGTTCTCAATGGGCCGCCTCACCTGCGGGCTTGAAAGTTCACCTGCAGCAGTCGCACCCTGAGTGGAAAGCTTTACGCGCGGCTGCGCAGGCAAAGGCCCAAATTCTTCGGCGCAGCATGTGCAAACCATGTCTCCACTGTCAAGAATCACGCATTGATCTTCAACACCACTGGAAGCAATGTTACATGATCACTTTGCTTAGCTTTTTGGAGTGCTGGCTGCACGAATACTTCCCCACTGGGGCGACCACGCTCTCTAGCCGCTGTGCCGATCTCCCTCCTCTCCCACATGACACACCTGTCCTCGGAGGATCAGCGCGAACTGGGCTACTTCCAGAACTTCATGACTCCATCAGGCGGCATGGATGTCACCCAGCCAAAGCGTCGTCGGGGCGAGGAGTCGGAGGGGGCGTCTCAGACAGCTCTGTTCCTGAGCCATTCTTCCGGCGCTCAGGCCTCAGCGCCACCATGGAATGCGAGCTCGGAACCCAAAGGCAAGGGGAAAGGCAGGCCGCCAAAGGGCAAAGGCAAGGGCAAAGGGGGCAAATCTCGCCCACATGCGCAACAGTCGTGGACAGACCATTGGAACCAGGATCAGTCTTGGTCCAGCGGCCACTCCTGGACTTCCACCGGTCAACTGGCCCGCCTCATCCTTCGGCACGAGCAGCAGTTGCAGAGCATTCAGCAGGACTGCAAGCTGCACCTTTACCTTCGCAGCGGGAAGGAATCCTTTCTTCCCAACCTGTGCGAGATCGCCAAGGAATGGAGTCGCCTTCGACGAGAAGAGCCAGGGAAGATCAACAGCCCGCTACGCATTCTTCTCTTGCGTGCAACCCTACAGGAGATGGAGACTCGCATCAAGCTCACGATCAGCAAGGAGAAGCAGACGGCCATCGATATGCAGTGGTACAAGGACGAGGAAGGCTGGACCTACATGCAGTGGAACACCCAGAAGGAACAGCTCGAGCTCCAGACCACTTCGGGAGCTTCGCACGCTCCTGAATCCAGATTCTGTGAAGAAATTCGCGTCGCTTCACGGACTACCGCAGGAACCTCAATCACAATGGATACACTTTCAGTTGGAGCTGGGGTTTCGGCCGCAAGGGGACCGCATGTGGGAAATCTTTTAGATGTTGCTCAACCAGAGCTGTCTCCACCCTCTTGGAGCACGCCTCCGAAAGGACCGTCCGGGCCTGTCGGGCCTTGCGACTCAAATCCAACAGGCGGTGGGGGGATGGTGAATCCATCGGCCCAGCTGGTCGCCGCACCTTCCGGCATTCGCCGGTTCCTCAGAGCTTCCTGCGACCTGTCTTCAGCTGGTGATTCCTCGACCCACTCTGCCTTATCCTCCATGCATGATGCCCTTCCTTCCCACTTCATGCCTTTGCTTCGAGCTGCCCTCCATAATGCTGATGGCACCGCCTGCTATATGAACACTGCGTTAATGGCCATACTATGGGTGCTTGGTCACGTTGATCCTACCAGAGCTGGACCCTTGTGTAGTCTGTACCAGTGTTTGGTGACGAGGCCTGATCTTCGACTGATGAGCAACATGTGCTGGACCATGCTTCTGGGGAACTGGGCAAGGCCCAACCAGCAGCACGACATGCACGAGTTCCTGCTCCATTTGATGCCACGCCTCAGGTTGGAATCCTTTAACGGGTTATGGCAGACCAGGCGACTGGAAGACACAGGCTCTGTTGTCTGTGCATCCTCTAATGCCCTTCTCCCTGTCACCATCGACCTGCCCTCAGAGGCAAGGGGACTTCAGCATTGCGTTCAGGCATGGTTTGCACAGCATTATCACACTGCCTTTGTGGGAACACTGCCGCAACTACTCTGCCTCCATTTGTCACGTTACAGGCGTGATGCAAGGGGCATTCTCAGCAAGGACGTTCAGGCCCTTCCGGACTGGACTGAAGTTCTTCGCATCCCGCAGTTTGCAACATCGTATGATCTTGAGAAGCATTGGCGGCCCTATCAGGTGTGTGCCATGGCTCTTCACTACGGACCTTCCTTGCAACGGGGGCACTATCGTTGCCTGACGCGATGGGGTCAAAATCCAGTGCGAGTCTGGCTGCATGATGACAACCACGCTGCTGAATCCGTCTCTCTTTCAGACTCCGTGGAGCTCAGTCGCAAAGCCTACATGATTTGGGCGGTGCGAATGGACTGAGGCCAGCTCCAGCTACCACTGAGAGCACTGCACTGCAAACGGACAACGTAGTTGTACATAGCACACGTACCGTCATTCGTGACTGCGTGTGACTTGAGGGGGCACCAAATGTGCGCGCCCACAGAGGCGCCGGAATCTACCAAAGATTCTGCCTTAGCCAGCTAGGCGACGACTCGTTCGCTGCGTCCTGAAGATGTATGTATGTATGTATGTATGTATGTATGTACACATGTACACATGTACACATGTACACATGTACACATGTACACATGTACACATGTATGTTTGTGTATGTGTGTGTATGTGTGTATATATATATATATATATATATATATATATACATGTATATACATGTATATACATACATACACATATATCTATATACATATACATATACATATACATACACATACACATACACATACACATACACATACACATACACATACACATACACATACACATACACATACACATACACATATACATATACATATACATATACATATACATATACATATACACATCATATACATATACATATACATATACATATATACATATACATATACATATACATATACACAAGCATATACATATACATATACATATACATATACATATACATATACATACTTTATTAGTACACATATATACATATAAACATACATATATATATATATATATATATATATATATATATATATATATATATATACCTACAAACCGTACGCTGGGAGATCGAGGCCCTGGCCGGACCAGTCCTGAAGCTCTGGGCTGTTGGGTGGCTGTCGGCAAAGAGCCCCAGTCCCGAAGCGCTCCAGAAGAGCTAAACCCTAAACCCTAGGGTTTAGCGTTTCTGGTAAACCCCAAACCCTCGGGTTTGGGTTTAGGGCAAACCCTAAACCCTGAAACTCTAAAACCCCCCTTAATATAGGAAAACCATGCTAAGCGCTTTAGGGTTTAAGGGCTTGGGAAGAAGGGTGAGGCTGTGGTGGGTTGTCGGAGGACGTCGGTGGCACTGGCAAACCAAGTGACAACGACAACAGCAGTATAGATCCGGCATAGCAGAAACAGTATGCTGAAGCATGAAATGCGAGCCCAAACCTTAAACTGCCAGGAGTGGAGAGCTTCAATATTCTTGAAGGCCAAACATCTCTTCTCAATCGAGCCGGTGGCACGCGCGCCGTCTGCCTGCACTAAACTTGGTCTTCCTTTGCCCTGAGCCTTCAATCTAAACCCCGCAAGTTGCCCTAAACCCTCCTAAACCCTAAACCCTCAACCCCCAACACATCACTCCGCGCTTGTCCTTCCAAGGTCTGAAGGAGCCCGCTGCTGAGGGATGCACTGAGTGCCTGGCTCTTTTTTTAATCAAAGCCCCCCATAAGACTCTGCTAAAGGAACCCTTCCGGTCCCCTTAAAGGCTCCTTTACAGGATCTACAAGGGTTCCTTCCTGCAAGGGTTCCTTATAGGGGTCTTTCAAGGGTCCCCTTCAGAGGATGCTTTCAACCTTCCCTTTCAGGAGCCCTGCTGGTGCCCACAAACTAAAGGTGCCTTCAACCGTCCCTGAAAGCACGTCTGGAAACAGTCAGTTAAAGCTCTGAAACAACACCACAGGAGCCCTGAAGGGAACCCTGAAAGGAACCCTCAAAGCAATCCTTCTGGCATATATGATATACGCCCAAAACCCTATTCTTACATCCTTATCGTATCCCTTATGGTAGCCCTTATAGCATAAGGCCCTATACTACATCCTTATAGTATCCCTGGTGCTCTTACCGGAAGCCTTG